GAAATTTTAATTAATTAAAGCAATAATACATTGTGAGTGAAAGTATTTTGTAAATTATAAAGCAGTACACAAAAATTCTTTACTAATGTTATAAGTATAGATTGTTGTAAGGATGTAAACCATTGCTCGGAGCCATAGAAAAGAAAACTTATCAGTATTAAGTAGGTTTGAAAAATTATTAGAGTTATGTTAAGAGAAAGACAACGAAAACTTTATTGAATTTTATTATGTCTCTCTTGTATTAGGTGACTACGAAAACTTTGAACCTCACAGTCTTAAAGTAACTGGGGCAGTAGAGAAATCTTCTCTGAGATTAAACATGAAAATAATTGTGCATGTTGGAACAGAGTACAGAGAAATATATATCTACCTTTCCAAAGTAAAGAGATTTAACATGTAAGGTTTATCCGATGCATGAGGAGTGTTCATTTTACAAAGGGAACAATTTTAGTTAAATGTCTCAACTTATACTTCATTGGTGTTGCTAAGTGCCGCAAGTTGGTTCTGACTCATAGTGACCCTGTATAGGGTTTCCAAGGAGCAGCTGGTAGGTTTGAACTGCCAACCCTGTGCTTTGCAGTCCAGTGCTGATCCTATAGTGCCACACCAGGAGTACTCCATTTAAACCCCATTGAAGAGATTTATAGAATGTTGTACCTCTCCACGAATGGGTAACCTCACACCTTGTGGAACTTCTTAATTCCCGTGTCTACAATCTATTTGGAGTCCTGGTGTGGCACTGCGAGATAATGCGCTGGACTGCAAGGTAGGTTTGAACGGCAAGTTCAGTGGTTCAAGCTCACCAGCCGCTCCTCGGAAACGCTATCCAGGGTCTCTATGAGTTGGAACCGAGTCAACAGCACTTAACAACAACAGCTAAATACATGTGGGAGCATGGTGGCACCATATGACAAGCACTAGACTGTGAATCACAAGTCTGCGGTTTGAGTCCACCAGTTGCTCACAAGAGAAAGTTGAGGCTTTCTGCGCCTGCAAAAAAAATTTTTTTTTTTTAAAGCCTCAGAACCTCAAACAGAGCCATTGAGTCAGAACTAATTTGAAGATCTTCAACAGCAACTAATAGATGTGGCTCAATGCTGAGTGTTGTGGAGTCCTGATGTAGCGCTATGGGCTAATGCGCTGGACTGAAAAGTCGTTTGAGCCACAAGGTTTGTGGTTCAAGCTCACCAGCTGCTCCTTGGAAACCCTATATAGGGTTGCTATGGTTCGGAAAAGACTCAGCAGCACTTAACAACAACAACAACAACAACATGCTGAGTGTTGTAGTAGCATGTGTGAGAAATAAAATGTTGCTTTTCTTCTAGGAGCATATAATTTGGGGTTGGGGGAGGGAGACATAACAAATAAATATAAGCTCTTGAAGGTCAAAGTCTTTATCTTCTTCACCTTTAAATATTTAAATCTCTGCAATAACTTGCTTTCTGTTTTGCAAGTACACAAAGTGATGTTCATTAACTATTTGTTGAATGAATGCATGAATGGATGAAGCAAATAAAGATTCAAGGCTATAGATAGCATTAAATGAGCAATTCAAGCAGTAAGTGCTAAAGGATTAAGGAGAAGAGTGACAATTTGGTAGAAAGCAACTGGGGAAGGTCAAAAGTTGTATCAGTATGTTTCAAAGATACCTTTTCAATTTAAATTTGGAAACTCTCAATGCCCTACGTTACTGGTTGGGAAGAAAATGTTGGCAGTAGAACACATCTTTCTTTTTCTGGGGGATCCCGGGGAAGAAAATAACTCAGTCAATTTCTCTTTCAAATATTCTAGTAACCAGACCTCCTAAGAAACATACTGATACTTTTTTCTAGCAGAAAATTAATAGAAAGCTCTCATCTCTGAAATGCTTTTAGAAGGGCACACCTGGTGTGTCTTGAGTGCTTATTGTACATAAACCTGGAATTTGTAGATAGATGGAAACATGACTGGTTGGAGAATTAATGGAATGTAAATGGAGATACTTAACTGAAATTGTTCCCTTTGCTTCAGCCTTACTTATCAAGTCTGAATCAGAACAAATCCCAACATAGAAGGCAAGAACCTACTTTGAAGGTCTTGGACTTCTCCCAGGAAAGAATGTTTTCTCTGAACTGTGTTTCCTTTGAATTATTAGTGATGTTTGTTCCTGGGTTGTGAGTCTGATTTAACAGTCTGACCCTTTGTGTCACTGCATTGGATTGCTGTACCTCCCCTGTTGCTATTTCATGGCAGTTAACTGGCTGAAATCCTTTGGAGACCACTAGACCTGAGCTGGACCCTATCTTAGCTCCTTGCTAGAGTAAGACTTCAAGTTGGTGATGTAAGTGCTCTGAGTTTGAATTTCCTCATCTGCACCTTTTGTTAATAGCCGTATCTGGAGTAGTTGAGGGATTGTTGTTGTTGTTGTTGTTATGTGCCGTGGAGTCGGTTCTGACTCATAGCGACCCTGTACAGGGTTTCCGAGGCTGTAAATCTTTACAGGAGCAGAAAGCCTCATCTTTCTCCCATGAAACAGCTGGTAGTTTTGAACTGCTGACCTTGCAGCTCACAGCCCGATTCGTAACCACTATGCTACCAGAGCTTCTTTAGTTGAGGGATTAAGAGGGGGGAAAGAGGGTTGAGCACCTTACCCTTCCCTGCACTGGGAGAGACACTCCTTCCCCAGCTGGAACCAGCCCGGTCGGCAGGAATGACACTGCATGCTGTGCCTCCCTTCGCATGTCCTACAAGAGCTGTGGCAGGGGACACACTGGTGACTGTCCTCGTCGGTGTAGTAGCCCTCAGGGCAGTCCTCCACGCAGGTCATATCTGGAAAAGACACCATATGTCTCCTAAGCCTCTCCTATATGCTCTCCACTGTGTGCTGAAGTTGGGGAGGTGCAGAAGGAAGGAGACAATGTTCTTATGGGCTGATGGATATGCTTGGGATGTAAGATGAATATCTAAGATATAGAATGGACCATATGACCACAAAGAGTTCAGAGAACACAGAGGACACAGTGGACCAACCATGGTGGACAGGATAGAAATCATAGTCTGGAGAATTGAGTTAAAAGGACTCCCAGGGTTTACCCGGAGGGAGAGTACATTTGGAGGGAGAGTACATTCTGGACATGCATTTGGGAGAGCATAGTGTCAAGACTCCATTAACGTAAAAACCGCAGCAACAACTAAATGCGTGTCCTATGTGATGACGTGATTCCACAGCTACAACTTTCCAAGTCCTGTCTTGAATGTCCCTCTAATACATTTGGGATTTCTGCTGTACTGTCCGCACAATGTGGCTCTTTAATTTTAAATTAAAACAAGGACAAGCTAAATACAATGAGAACTTCAGTTGCTTAGATGCACAAGCCAGTCTAGAACATTCTACCCCCAAAGAGTTATGGACAGTGAGATCCAGTTTCACCCAGGTGTTTAATACATTAGTCAGGCTGTCTCTACAATTCCATTCAGCATTGGCACAGAAACAGGTGGGAACGTCCAATGCTGCTAAAGCCGAGGCTCCCAGGCTCTGAGGTATTGGAGCACAGGGCCTTCCATTCATTTTCAAAAGTAACCATTTAAATAGAAAGACACCAATGCCTATGGTGTAACAAGCATTTGCAAAGTAGTTTCCCTTGAGGAGGAAAAAATCGAACCTCTGCTCAGAGGAAAAGTAACTCACTGAGAAGAAGGTTTTTCCGTGGGCAGGCGCGACACTGGTCCTCGGCAGGTCCCATGCATCGGAAGCACTTGGTGTGACAAGGCTGGCACCTGTGTGTCGCCTCATCCCAGTATTCCGCGTGGGTGCAGTTTTTGTAAGGTACACAGCTCCCGTGGTCATTCTTTCTCAGGCCTTTTTGACAAGTTTTGCAGGTCCCCAATGATGTGCAGGTCTGACAGGTCTTGTGACAATCTGTAGACATGGCGGGGGCAGTAGGCAGAGTGAGAGAGCGCCAGAGCATCCCTCAGTGAATTAATCACCTGGGAAGTGTGTTCACAGTTCTCCATATTTCTTACAGAGGTTTCTAAGACAGTTCAAGCTCACCAAGCGCTCCTCACAAACCCTATGCAGGGTGGATGGGATTTGGAACAGACTCAACGGCACTTCACAACAACGACACGCCAAGGGTGGGGAGCACAGTGGCTCTCTAGGATAAGCACTGGACTGGACCACAAGGTCAGCAGTTCAAGTCCACCAGTGACTCTGTAGGAGAAAGATGAGACTTTCTGCTCCCTCAAAGACTTATAGACTAGGAAACCCAATACAGTGTCACTATGAGTTCAAATAGACTCAATGATATTTAACAATAACAACACCAAGGGTAGGAGTCACTGGGCGGTACAAATAATTAGCACACTTGACTACTAACTGGAAGATTGAAGGTTCAAGCCCACATAAGGTGCTTTGTAAAATGAACCTAGCAAGCTCCTTCCAAACAAAACCAAAAACATCAGTCGTTGAAAATCCTATTGAGCACAGATCTACTCGGATACACTTGGGGCTGCCACAAGTCAGAATCAATTCGATAGCAAGTGGCTTTTGGTTTGGTGCTAAGGTGGGGAGCCATGAGTTTGGCACAGCTCTTGGGCTTTGGGGTAGAGCATTCCAGCTTCAAAATAATAATAATAATAAAAAAGGTTTTTTTCCCTTTCTCTGAAATACCCCAAGAGCCTTTTCCCTAGAATAGCCACCTTGGAAATATCGGTAAGGTAAGGCTCACAGTGTAATTTACCCAAATGGCAACAAAGAGAGTATGAGTAAATCCACAGTATCAAGCATTGCGACACTTTCACCATCACACCTCTTAATGGTGATGGTTCTCCACCCATCTCCCAGAATTCCCAGAGCTCATCACTAATACTTGCAGTGGCCATTAAGTTAGTTCTCACTCATGGCGAGCCAATGCGTGTCAGCGTAGAACAAGACAGGGTTTTCAATGGCTGATTTTTCAGGAGCAAATGGCCAGATCTTTCTTTTGAGGTATCTCCTTTCTGTTAGCAGTCCAGCACTTAATTGTTGGCACCACCCAGGGAATTCTAAATATCTTTATATCAGATTGGATCATCACTGAGAGTTAACAATGAAATAATTTGACTCATCTACTAAAGGCATTCTGGTGGTGTAGTGGATTATAAACTGAGCTGCTAACCACAAGGTCAGCATAGTGAATCTATCAGGCAGTCCTTGGGAGAAAGATGAGGCTTTCTGCTCCCATAGAGATTTACAGCCTCAGAAACCCTATACAGGGTCGCTGTGAGTTGGAGCCGGCTTGGCGGCACACAACCACCACCAACCACCACTCACCTATTAATTGTTGTTGTTAAGTGCCATCGAGTCGGGTCCGACCCATAGCGACCCTGTACAGGGTTTCCGAGGGTGTAAATCTTTACGGGAGTAGAAAGCCTCATCTT